AGGGAAGATTCAAGACGCCTGGTTGTACGCTGACAATAAGAGTGTATCTTCATCAAGTTAGTAGTTTCAAATTTTTTGAATTTCTTTGTAGATAAGTTCTTAGAGAAGTTTTGAAAAAATCGAAAAATGCCACTTCTCGGAAACTAAAAGCATTTGAGCAGTCGCGTTTAGCAGTCCCATGTGGCAAGATTTGCAACTCTTTAGAGTACCCTGACAACACCGAACTATAGAGTTGGGAATTTCAAATTTTGAAAAACAATTAATATAAATTTTCTGAAAATTTCGAAAAAAAAAACAAAAAACGTCACTTCTCGAAAACTAAAAAGAATTGAGCAGTGATATTTGGAGGTAAGATTCGCAATCCTTGAGAGTACTCCGACAGCACCCAACTACAGGGTTGGGAACTTCAAGTTTTCTAAATCATTTTGTTATTTGAAATTTCTAAAAATTTTTGAAAAAATCTTAAAAATCGTCTTATCTCGTTAACTAAAATTATTCGGGCATTCAAAATTGGAGGCCAAATTCGCAACCCCTAATTCGATATTGGGCTGCTTAATTTAAACTTGGTAAAACAACCACTAAAATCAAATTGGAAAATCGAAAAAAAAAATCTTAACCATTGCAATATACGATATAGCTTAAACATGCAAAAATAATACGTTGAAAAAGCTTAAACATGGCGAGATACTGAAGCCCGCATTTAAATAAATAATAGATTTGTATATGTACGCAATATAAACAGTAGCGGATGTGTGGGGAGGGGGGTTTTGGTGGGTTCGGAGGACGCTTCCCTCAAGGATTCGAACCTTTGACTACCCAAAGGCTCCCCCATTTGGTACTATTTTGAGACCCTAAAAATTTTCCAAAGGCGCCACCAAATTTTTCTAAAGGCTCCACCAACACACTATTTTTGAGGGGAGAGCGGGCGGTCAAAACTGTCCAAAAAACACCAAAAAACGCTCGACCAAATTCGAGCTACAGAAACATGACTAAATTCGAGCGTGAAAATCATCAGAATATTGTTGATATTCTGATGGTTTTGATTCCAAACCCTGCAATTTTTTACGATAAAATATTTGCACAGAAATTGTGCAGGTATATTTTTCTGACAAAAGAATGTCAAAAATTATTGAAAAATATCGAGAAAAACCAATTAGAAATTTAACTTTGTTTTGAATAAGATCGAATACAATCACTGGCGAACACAATCATTAGCGTCAAAAAATTGAAAAAAAGTCTGGAAAAATCCCTTGCAAAAATTTCACGGCGGTTTTGTGTCAAAAGTTATTCAAAACATCGTCAACAGACAGTTGGAAAAGAGTCAAGAAGGCACGGAACTGAAAAAAATCTGACTTATTAAAAAAAGAGGCGAAACGGAGTTTCGCACCACTTGCGGTACAATACAAACATAAAAAACCGAAAAAAATTGAGAAAATTTTAGATAATTAAAAAAAAATAGGTGATCTTAATTTTTCGTAAGTCAACAAAACAACTACAGGCCCAGCTAAAACTGGAGGTGCGTGTTTGATATTATATGAATTTGCTATACTGATGCGGCACGAAAAGCGTGATTTGAAAAATTGCTAGAACATTAGCTATTCTTCTACTAAAATAAGTGAGAAAAAAAATTTTTGAGATTATCAATTTTCATAGTGAGGTAAAATTTCTGTGACAAAAGGTTGAGAACCGTTGTTACTGCAGGTACAGTTATCGCAACCCTTTCAATGGAACTTTTCATCTCAGATTTTAATGTGTAAGGTTTAAGAAAATTGCGATTTAAGAGGAGCTTTGCACTAACTGCTATCTCATCGAACTCACAATATCAGATTTAAGAGGCTAGTTTTTGAGAAAAGCAAAAATATATACAAAATGGTCAAAAAAATGAAATCTGACTATTCCGACGGCCATAACTCTTTGTGCAAAAAAAAAATTAGTCGTAGCCATTTATGTAGGGAAGCTTTTTAAAACAGTTCTATCTATTGAAACCAAAAACTCAAAATTTAAAGAGGTAGTTTTAGAGAAAGCGAAAAAAAATCAAAAATATGTGTCAAATTGTCCCCCATACTTTTTTCGAAGGCTGTAGAAAGGGTTAGGTTTAGAGTAGAAAAAAGACTCTAGGGGAGTATGCAAGCACACAGAGGAAAAAGCGGTCTTTCAATTGATACTCATTTTTTGAAGATCAAATTTTTATAAGAAAACCTAAATTTTTGGAAAAACTAAAAAAAAATCAAATTTCAACAAGCAGATTGATAAACAGTCAACTAACTTGAAAAATGTGGAGGGGAGTGCTAAAATTGTGTTGATCTTGAAAGCCTCATAATTAGGTCATTCAGCCGATGAAAAATTGGGCCAAAATATTTTGGCCAAGGAGTTTTTTAAGCGAAACAGAAAAACAAAGAAAATATAGAATCATGGCCAGTAAAATTACAAAATGTAGGCATAATTCAACACTAAAAACAACAATTAAAGATCGCCCGTTGTGAAAACAAATCCAAGATGTGACAACTAGGCCTTCAACAAATAAATTATTGGCAGACAATTTTTCTTTAAAACAGAATATCGTCTGAAAAAAGCCAGGTCCTGGTCAGACTCGAACCCGAGACCTTCGTCATAATGAATACATAATGAAAATGAATACATAATACAATAAAAACAAGGTAGAGACGAGTCCTGTGGACAAAGTTGTATACAGGAAAAAATTCTAGTACCCGGTTGCAATATCCTTGTTTATCGCAAGAGTAAATAAAACTTTTCACCTTTTGATTTCAAAGAGTAGAACATATTTTTGATAAATCGCGAAAATTGAATCAATAGGTAAATTTTTTATGCCACTTGAAAATCTAAAAATTAATTTCAAAGTTCGAAACTGGAAATCGGTCGCATTTTTTGTGGTTTTTACATTTCTGCTGTTCGATAGTGGAGTTAGCTTTCCTTTCATCAAACGAAATGGACTGAGCTCAAAAAGAAGTTAAAAATCAGACTTCGAAAAATCAGATTTTAGCGTGATTGATTAAACTGGAAAACAAAAAAAAATCACTAAGACCTAGCTAAGAGTATCGACTACGTTCATGAATCTTAATTATATGCAAAATTTGTGAATAAGTCTTCAGAAAAGTTTTTCGAATGTCAAACATCCGGCAAAGAATGTCAAACATCTCGTTGATCCAAAAACAAGATACCAGATAATTTTCTTCCACTTTTGTATAAAAAAATGAGTGCTAGAATAACAATTTTTCCTCAAACGACACAAAATTGGGCGACTAAGTCAAATAAACATCAGCCGCAGCCGTTCAGACCGAATGAGATACTCAAGAAAAAAGAAACAAAGTCCGCAGTCTCTTGGAAAAAAGTCAATAAATACAAGAAAGCAGCAAAAACTGCAATGTTTGAACTTTAAACTAAAATTTAATTTGCCTGCAGGCTTTTCGAATTTTAAGATCCATACTTTTTTTGATAAAACTAACTCAATTCCAAAAAACTGGATAAAAAGGCTAATTTTAATTCCGCTGGAAAATCTGAAATCTCAAATTTTTTTTTAAAATGAAGTCGAAAACATGCTTGGTGACCTGTACACTTTTGCTGTTCGACTGTGGGATTCGCCTTCCTTTGACAAAGGAAATGAAGTTAACTTAAGGAACTAGCAAAAAATCATCACGACATTAATCAGTCTTCACTACTTTCAACTCCTCGTTAAAATAACGTATAAAATCTTGGGATAGTTACATTAATTATTTAAGGGTTAAATCAAAATTTCTTTCAAATGCAATGAATTTTGCTTTAAGCACAATCAACTTTGTGTTTAGGTAATTAAACCGACAAAACATGGGACTTTTTAAATTGAATTTTATTAGTGTGAAAAAAGTCCTGGCCGGACTTAAATTTAGAGTTTTAGCAGCCTCAGACGTAGTTGTTACCTACGTAACAAATAAGCAAAAATTTGAATTGAATTTAAATCGAACTATAATAATTTAAATCGAACTATAAATGATTTGATTAAAATAGTAACTAACTTTAAAAGGTCTTCAATCAGTTTTGATATCGCTTGATAATTGTAAGTTTGACGCAGAGGCAAAGAAAAGCTTCGCAAAACTCGCGACAACGAATTGCAAGCTGACAAATAAAAAATGAGACGGAAATCATTACGTTAGTTTATTTTTTTTATTCGAAGAAATGAAAAATTGAAAGTTGCAAACCGATTCTTTGGAAAGTAAGCCGACCCAAAAATAAGCATACAAACAGAATTCCAAAAATTCTATAGTTCATATTTAAAATTTCAGTTCCATCCAAAAAACTCCTGGCTTTGGGTGCAAAGTCGACCGCTTTTCCTCTAGACCAAAGAAAAGAATCCTTGAAGTTGTTTAGGTTCAATTATGAAGCAAAATCAATTTCTTAGGTTTGTAGAAAAAAACTATTTACGGCAAACAAAAATTGTACCCGATCACAAATCTCATATGCTCTCGCAAAAGAAATCGCCATTTAACTCTTTGAACTTTAAGAATCTTTTATTTTTGACTTCACTTAGAAAAAACTAGCCAAAAAATAAAAAAATAAACAGGATATAAATTTCAAACAACTGGAAAATTTTGAAATTTTGAAACTTGAAGTCATTTACGGTTTTTTTGCACGCCACTTGTCTTTATATGGAGAAACATTTACTGTGTAAACCTGACTAGATTTTAAATGAAATCGTAAACGATAGCGTTGTTAAATTATTTTGACTAATATTGATTTGCTGGAAGTAACAGATCACGCTTCGCACTAGTTTGGCTTTGACCGCACTTCTGATACAGTGGCCAACCTAATTTAGAATGGGAACAAATAATGTTGGGAAAAGTAGTTCAACGCGCGCATGTTAGGAAATCATGTTTTTACGATCGTGAACTCTTTGGGGATTTCATAAATTTGGGGACTTCATTTTGTCCCCCTCCGTATATTTTTATACAATTTTATATAGTCCCGATCCGAATAAAAACTACACAATTGAGCATAATACTCATATTAAAAATAAATTCGAATAGACTCAAAATACCGCCATTACAAAATAGTCAAATCAATCAATTTAAAATCAGTGAGTTCAAAATTTTAGTGCTTCTTTCCGAAAACATATACAACACTGTTTGAGTCCTAATTAACAAGTCTACGTTATTCATTTCACTTTGATCTTTCTGGAGTTTTGAAGGCTAAAATCATTAAATCCACTTATCGCGTTGAAATCCGCCCATTTACATCATTTACTTAAGGCTTTCGATCCTCCACTGTCGAGATTAGTAGTGCTAAATCATAGTGAGTCAGCGCCAGCCAAACGTAACTATTTGTCTACGCGTCCTCGTTGGTTTCTTCGGTTAGGGTGGGTGGTATGTCGTATATGGTTGAGAATGCCCTCTTGCGCATGACTGAAGGTGCTTCACTCTCACTCAAATCATCCTCTCCCAGTAGTTCATACAGTGAACAGGTGGGCATGTCTGACTGTCCGATAACTGAGTTGAGTTTGTCGAAGTCGGACAGGTACTTGTTGCCCTTTCGGGTGAGCATGCTGGCGAAGTTGTAGCCCCACTTGATATCTGAGGCAGTGTAGGACTGGATAACCTGCGCTGTGCTCCCGGTCTCTTCAACCGCTCCCTCTACAAACAAAGCCAACAGTTTCAAAAAAGTCAATGAACTCAAAAAACAATAATTTTTTTTTTCAATTTTCAACTTTTGAAAGTCGAAAAAAGATGGCCATTAAGTTCTTTGAATTTCCAAAACAGTTTATGATTGACAGGTTTTGATAAAATATCCCAATTTGAGAAAACTGGATCAATAGGTAATCGCTGGGAAGTGTCGCTTTTTATGTCGCTGGGAAATCTGCAAATTGAATTCAACTTTCGAAACCAAAAGTCGATCACGTTTTTCGTGACCTGTACACTTCTGCTGTTCGATAGTGGACTTTTCCTTCCTTTCAACACAAAAAATGACCTTAACTTAAAAAGAAATCAAAAGTCAAACCGCGAAAACGTAAATTTGATCCGGAACTTTTTACTGAAAAAAAAAGTCAGAGACCTATATACGAGTATTCACTACGTTCATGACTCTTAGTCACTCACAAAAAACATTGAGCACAAGTACCCGAGTTTGAATAAAGGACGTTGCTGTTGCTAACAGTTTTTCAATCTCTGCGAAAGTCTGAGGAAAATAAAAAGGTCTCATAAAATGCATGTAAATTAACGCTTTCTTTTCATAGGCGGTGGTTTGTGCACTTAACGTTTTATAGGAGTCCATTGCATGAATATCTTAAGGAAAATTGACTGAAGACATTTCGAGCGGATACGTTTCGAGTAGCTCTTACCGAGGAGCACGATGACTTCGAAGTGCACAGATTGTATGTCATGCCAGGATTTCCTGAAACAACACAAATTAGCCAAGTTAAAAGATAGCCGCAAAAAATAGCCGTTATGTGATTGAAAATTGCTCCATCTTCACAACAAAAGCGCCATCATTTCATTATCGCATTATTTAAGTGGCCTCAAAAGTGGATAACTGTTTCTCAGATCCAATCACATTTTCAATCCCAGTGAGAAAACTGACTTCAAATCTGATTGCTCTGCTCTTCTTCCAGCGCGCCATTTTAATTTGCAGCAGCAGCAGAGGTGGGTTTGACTGGGGTTACAGAATATTAGAGTAATGGAATTCGGCTCAGGGCTACACTATAAAATGTATATACTTTGAGGTGTGTATAAGCAGAGACAATCAGCTTTTCCGCCCATACTGACATTTTAGCCTTCCGGTTTTTTAATATAGCGAAGGCAGCGCACGTTCAATTACAAAAAACAGCTACCACCAAGTCACAATCACAAACAATCTTTGTTTTCTTTCTAGCTCTCCTTGGGTTCAACGGAGGTTCAAATTGATTCTAACTAATTAAAATAAAACCCATCTGGACCATAAGTCAATTCTCAGTTTATTCCATTCATGAATTAGCCCGGCTCTTCAAAAATTTTCAACACCACATCAATAAAAGCTATCATGCACTCTCAAGTATACATATAATTCGATTAAACTGCGTATTTACATTCACCTCAGGAAGAGGGTGACGTTTGATTACATTTGATAGCACCCAAGATGATGTTTAAATGAAGGAATCAAAAATACAACCGAGAAAGCAATTACACCGTTATTTGCACATCAAATATCAGAAACTGAATTACACTTTCTTTTGAATTAAAATTTTTCTTTTCAGCTTAATCGCATGGGATCAAATTTTTTTTCCAAAAATAGTTTTCAGGCAACTGTTAGAGCAACCAATTTTAGCTGAGCCCAATATTGTCCTTTCTTTTCCCCAGAAATATGTGAGTGTTAGGTTGCATTTTTTAATGACTGTGCCAGAGTAATATAATCTGTAGCGAGGGCAAAAATGAGCCAAGTACCAACTGCCATTATGGCTTAGGGAGAGAAAAGTCCCTGCATGAAGAGTTTCAGTAAAATCATTATGCAAAATAATTGAGAGTACAAATCCACCATATACAAAAATGGAGTTCAGAGCAAATTAACTTCAGTTTTATAGACCTACTTTACATATGCATAAACTAAATTCCACGGAAATCTCCCATATCAAATGGGATCAATAACAAAAGACAACCTTTTTCAAAACTATCCAATGAAGACTCCTTTATGGCCTTAAGAAGACACTAATCCGCATGGCCTGTCTCAGATAAGAATAGAATAATGGGCCGTATCAAAAAGGGGAAGGAAAGAGGTGGGAAGGAAAGAGCATATCTAGGGATAATGGACGTTCAACTCACTATAATCTCAGTAGTCTACCTCTCTCACATTACTTGCTCTGACTTATTCCTTCCCACGGGATAAGACATGACAAGACAGATAAGGGTTATCATTCGCGACAAGCAACAACTTTTTTTCTCCTTTCAGGCAAAACTTAACACATGACCTCACGCGTCAAGAGGCACACCACACGCGAACGTAGCGAAAGGGTAACCTCCTTTAATTAGAATACAGGAGTATACTCAGCTGATTAAAAGAGCCGCAGGATAATAACATCATCGAAAATAGTCACTTTTCCACCTTTAACAGACTAAATATTAATTTGTTCGGGTATTTTCAGCCCCTATTTCAAAATATTCATTTTCAGTGTACTTTACAATGCTATCATGGCTAATGCGTGATTTTTCGGTGCAAAGTATTAAGAACAAATGTATTTAGAATAGTTAATTTGCTCACTTTGCAACGTTTTAGTGCATTACAACAACATTAGTTTAGTTTGATAAAGTTGAAGTTCAATCTCTCAGTTGGGGAGTGGAAAAGAGCCATTTCTACTTGCAGCTAGATATACAGTGCTGATTTCAATTAACCGGACAAAACGCGTTAAACTTGAAATTTAAAACTCGTTTTTGTCAAATTGGTTTGAGTTTAGGTGAAAACGTATGGAGACAAAACTTGCTTAAAATTTTAACAGAATTAATACGGTGTAATTTGTTTTGCAAAATTCGGGCCCAAAATTTTACGCCAAAAATGGGTCATTTTGGCTTTTCTTAGTTAATCAGAAATTACACCAAAAAACCCAGTCGATCACAGACATAATCATATCAAAGTGAGCCCCTTACGTAGCCCAACAAACTTGAACAAGGGTATATTCTCCAAAACGTTGTATAAATTATTTTATTTTTGTTTGATAGACAAAAAAGATCGTTTTTACTATATAAAAAATCAACTTTTTATTTTAAAACAATTTTTGAACGGTTGACAATTTTTTCGCAGAATAAATTTTTCTTAAAATTTCTTGGGCCGCGTAGGAGGCTCACTTTAATATAATTATGTCTGTGATCGACTGTCTATTTTGGCGTAATTTCTGATTAACTAAGAAAAGCCAAAATGACCCATTTTTGGGGTAAAACTTTGGGCCCGAATTTCGCAAAACAAATTACACCATATTAATTCTGCTAAAAATTTAGGCAATGTTTGTTTTCACCTACACTCAACTCAATTTGAGAAAAACGCGTTTTAAATTTCAAGTTAAGCTCGTTTTTTTTCCGGTTAATTTAAATCAGCACTGTATATTAGTACTGTTTAGCTGATTACAGCGAGCTTTCGCATAAATTGATTTCTATAACTCGGTAGCTCCAATCGTGTGACTGAACAACATTGGTTTTAAATAACCATAGCAAAACCAGCCCAAACTTAAAATGGTCAAACGATGTAGATGCTGCCTTATATTTCGATGCCCGAAGTAAAATCGAATGCAGAAAAACTCATTTTTTTTAAAACAAAATTCAAATCAAATTTTGGGAACACTGAGATCCAACTATCGTTGATAAAGAGCACAAGTTTAACATTTACTTTTTCATTCCGCTGCTACTTAAAACTGATTTCATTTTTCTAGCCTTAAATTAAGTGCAATTGGTCGCGCCATTTTCAATATTTCAACGAAAGTAGCTTTAATTGAAAAAACAGCTAAGTAAACCGAAAAGCCTTTTTTCTTTTTCAATTCTCATAAGAGCACATCATTACATCACCTTCAGGCTCTCACAATTTCAGGAAACGCCAATGATTGAAACTTTGCGAGAAGAAGTTACCACACTTCGAAAAAAAACCTATTTGGGAAATCTTAAAATTAAAAACGGCTCATATTCTCACTTCTCTTAATGTTTTACTTTCAAATGTAGATTTTTTTACTTTCAAATCAAACCTTCATAACAAAAAATAGGCGCTAATCGAAACACGTTAAAATTATTCCATTGAAAAACTGCTGAAAAATCCTGAAAAATTAAATGGAAATATGAAAGAGGAGATTTGAAAACATTGGGGAGATAGGAAAAACTGGTTCACACGTTCGCAAATACAGGTAGAAAAAAGAGGAAAACGAAGCTTTAAAAAGTAAGAAAAAACAAAAAGCAATTGACTGAACAAAAGCAATAGACTGAACAAACCATTTTCTGCCCAAATTTCTCAATTATAGTTTTCATATCAAAGTTTAGCTACTCGCCAACGAAATGATGTAAAGAAAGATAGCCATCAAAGATTTGTAACAGAACTCATCCAAATGAGAAAATTGGTTCAATGGGTAATTCTTTGATTATGCTATGATATCTAGATATTAAGAACACTTTAACAAAAAATGCGGCGCTTTTTTCAAGAGTTCATTGCCACGAACGTGAACCTGTGAAGACAGGTTCCGTAAAAACATCCGATGGATCGAGCATCCGACATTTTTCAAAAAGTAGGGCAAAGATTCGATTTCTACCGTTCGCTAAAAGATGCTGTCGAATGAAGACAGATCGTCGCGATCGCGCCAACGTGTTGCAAGCTTGCAAACAGAGATTAGGACTTTATAAGAAAGTTAGTGCCGGTTATCACCGTGTAGCGCAACCCCATTCGCCGCGTAGCGCCCCGAGTCGTCTAAATTAAAATCGGATAATTGAGCTATATATATATATATATATATATATATATATATATATATATATATATATATTTTTTTTTTTAATTCTAACGTCAAATTTTTACATAACAATCATTAACTAAGTTCGGATGTTTCACACAACGGATTTTTATCCTAGACAGTGTCAACTTCTTCAGAAAACAAAAAAAATCATTCAGTTTGAATATAAGATGATTTTTTTCATTCAGCTGATAAGGTATAGTTATCCATTTTAGCTGAACCAGACAGAGCAAAGAAAAAATTTTAAAAATAGTTGACAAAAACTCAATTACCTGAATAAAAAAACATCTGATCTCGGAAGCTGAAAAAAATTGAGCAGTGATATTTGGGAGCAAAAATGGCATCATCTGAGAGTACTCTGACAGCACTCTACACTATAGGGTTGGGATTTTCAAATCTGAAAGTTTGCGCTTCCAAACCTTATTGTTGTGAAAACGTTTGAAAACAATAAAAAATCGTCTCGGAATCTGAAAAGATTTGAGCAGTCATATTTGGAGCCAAGATTTGCAGCCTATGAGAGAATTCTAACAGACCCCCTTATAGGGGTGTGAAGATCAAATTTTGGGAAGCCTTGAAAATTTTGTGAAAAATCACAGAAACCGTCATTTCTCATCTCGTCTAACTAAAAAACTAATTTATATTAGGAAGCCAGTGTTGCAACCCCTCGGAGAACTTAGGGAGATTTAAAGCTTCAATTTTGGTGAAATAAACGCTGAAATCTAATCTAATCTAAACGCTGATTCATTCATCTATACATTATGCAACGGGGACTTTTCACTACCCCAGAGTTCGCTGCCCTCCTCCTTTCGCCCATGCTGGCATGATTTCTACATCCTTATATTGATTTTTAGCTGACCTAGCAATCATGAATTGCAAATCTAAATAATTTCTTAAGCATTGCAATATATGATATAGATTCAACGTGTAAAAATCCTTTCGTTTAACATGCAAAAAAACACCTAAACAAGGTGAGATACGTGTCGCACGCATTTACCAAAGAGGCAAAGCGGTGCTTCGCAAACACTGGCGAGAAAACGACAAAAAGTAGCACTACAAAGTGAAATAAGAATAAGTAGTAAATTAGTAAAAGTCTCAAATTAGTAAAACTTTTGCTACGACACAAATTCGAACCAGCTACATCGAGATTAAAGGTTTTAATGCCCTTTCCAAATATCATATACACTACGCTCGCTAGTGCGCTAGCGTAAATAAAGAATTGACAGAGAAGTAGATTGGAAGCTGGAACCTTAAAATTAAAACCCACTTTCGAACCTAAAAACATTCACATCATTTTGCACCAATTGGAGATCGTAATTTGTCTTCCTTTTATCAAATTAATTTGAATTGCACTACAAAAAAGTCAAATCGCGAAAAATCAAAATAAAGTGTGATTAAATTTCTTGAGTGTGAATTTTTCCTTAAAAAAAAACCACCCGACCTAAATAAGTGTCTTCACTTCCTTCATTGACACTTAATGAAGCCACTTAAAAAATCGTATTCATTTGATTGCTTTTTGCCTGTTTCAATCGACAGACTTCCAAAAATGCTAGAAAATCTGCATTCAGCTGATTTAGGCTAACTCGTTAAAACACTAGATCTTGGATTCCACAAGAACAAATAATGGAAAGTTGTGGAGGAATTCCCCCTCACTTCTTTTCTCCTCCTAAGTACGACTTTAACAAGCTTTCTAGTTTTCCTTCAAGTCGAAAACAACACTGACAAAAGTTGAACCGAATTCTATCAATCCGGAAAAAAAACCTGGCAAAATCGTTCTTCGAAACTTGCCACCAAAACTTTTTGGTGTGATTACATTTTCAAAACGTATGCAGCGCTGTGTAATATTCTAGGTAGAAAAAAGCCGACGCAAATTCAATTAATGGCCACGCAACATAAGCATATTACAATTTCGTATTGCTGATTCAGGTGGACAAACCAGGTGCGTTACCGCAGCGCCACCCAAACTTTATGACTCAGTGAGCTAGCTTTCATAAACAAAGCAAGTTGTAAACACGATTCAGCGGTTCTGTTAATTAAGTTGCTTGCCCGAAAAATGCACAGTTCCGATTTGATAAGGCTTGCTAACCAAGCGTAAAAATGACTTTTGGTTTGTTTCTCACTTGAAGAGGGGACTCTCTGCATCTATCCTGTGCTCTATGATCCAGGGTACCAGCAGAATCAGTCTGTCTCTCCCACAGTCATAGCCCACATCCAGGTCCTCCATCAGCAGACAATTGTTCCCGTGGGTGTCTGTGGTGGAGTGGACCAGATACATTCGCACGTGTGCCTCCGGCATGCTACCCGTTGACATGTCTGCCACACGCAACGACAACACGTATCTAGGACACAATGAAAACAAACAAATACCAAAACAATGCTCCAACCATTATTCATAGTGAAAACAAACTTCACATTGTCACTTCACATTGTCTGCTGGGCCACAAATCGCATCGAGCGAAAATTGGTAGCAAGCGACAATCCACAACAAGTTACAAAATTGCACTCTCTCAATAATGTCCGCTGAACTTTAAATGTTTTCAGATTAGAATCTTTCAAACTTTAAACAACTTTTCAGATTATTACAGTTAAGCTATTTCCATTTTGTGCAAATTTCCATCGAAATTGTTGTTTCGCTTTCAAGTTTGCAAAAAAGTGAGCTAAGAATTCTGCAGGAGAATGCTGATGACTATTGGAGTCTAACCATTCCATGGTTGTCGAAAATTGAAAGAAGTAAAATTTTCTCTGTCATTCTAACAATAGAGGCCTTCAAATGAAAGGAACTTGAGGGCAGATAGAATTAGGATTTAAAAACATTAAGTAGAACTCCTAATCTGTTTATTGTATCAGAGTCCATTTAAGACGGAAGGCGGAAATGAAATGCATGCGTTCAAGGAAATATACAAATCCCTTATCAATACAGCAATCAGGCTTCAAAAGCATGTCAAAATGCATCCAGAGAAAATTATTCATACCAAACCCAGTCATCAATCACAAGTAGATACCAGGCATGAAGGAACCAAATTGCGCACCCCTACCCACCCCTGGCAAAATTCAATGCAGTCTCTTTAGTACAGAAGCGACGAACAATTGATAGGCTGAATACGTTACTGAAATCGCCGATAACAGGTCTTGTTATTTAATTTTAAAAACACTACACTTACTCATCCATATCCTCAAGATCAGCAATCTGTGAACTTCCAGTCTGCGGAATAAATTCCAATAACTTTCTTTCTTTGATGTTTTATTAGCTTTTGGGGAGCTCCTAATATTTCCATAAATATCAATTAATGAGACAAAATAGAGGTGAAGTTAACTTATAACTCCATCTCCATCCAACAAAATCGATCTCTCCAATTCAATTCGATAGCCTAAGTTGAGCAGCAACACATTCGCAAAGAAAACAAATTTTTCGCAAAGAAAACGAAATTTCCAAATTTTCGATAGATTGTAATCAGATAATCATAACGTTGTTGAAAAAGTTGTTTAGGTAAACCTCAAAAAAAATTGAGCGTGAACAATAGTAGTTTCCTGAAAAAAAATCATCACGACCTAATTAAGTGTCTTCACTACGTTTATTGACAATTAAATTAGAACTCTAATTCAAACGCAATCTATGATTGGCACTTCTCTGATATGTGCATTTATAAAATATGAATGCAAGTCTTTTGTTATAAGAGCATTAAGATTTTTTCTGAAAAAAAAAACGAAAAATAAATCATTAATAAAATCATCTACAAAAACATCATAGGTCCGATTTCAGGAAAACAAAACTGGGAAAAAGTATCACCAGCGTTAAGTTAGTCGTTAGTTAAAGTTACCGAGCGGCCGCCACTGCACCTACATCAATTGGGCAAGGCGCCGTTCAGCAAAACAAAAAAGCCATCTGAAAATTTTAAAATTTTAAATTTCAGAACTCGAAGATTTTGCGCCCAATCCTTTCTGAAATATTCAACAAAAAATGACTTTTACCCCTCATATGAAAAAATACAAGCTGACAAAGAAAAAACGGAATCATTCAGGCTAAAAAGGAAAAAAGCGTCTTCAAAGCCTGAGTTCCTAACATAAGTGTCACAAAAAATTTCAATCATAATGAAATTGTTTGAATCAGAAGAAAATTCTGTACGTTTGAAATTAAGCCGACGAAAAAAAATCAGCAGACAAGCGACAGTCAGATTTTCTGCCAAAAACTTGAACTAACATATATCGAAACAAGGATAGCGGGTTGCTGTCTAGGTAGCACAGAATGCTCCGACAACATTCTCGAAAGAAAACACTTACTTTTGTTTTTCTTCAAGTTAGTGTCTTTTTGATACGTAGTATTTCTAAAAGCTTATTTTTGCCAAGAAAAGCAAAATTAAGCTTCCTAACTAGTTTTCCTTTTGGTAAAATCAAGTTTTTTTAAGCCTAAATAGCTAATTTTCATACAAAACAAACGTTACTCGATCGCTTTACCCGCTCGAAAATCCACAAAAATTAAAAATTTGAAACATGTTATACTCGACACTAAAATTTTTTTTGGAATTTTTGAATTTTTTGGCATTAGACCAAAAAATAATTTTTGAAACTTAAAAAAAACCAAGAGTCCAACTGCGAAAAATCAAATTTCAGCGGGAACAAAGTTTAAGACTTTTATTATTTAAAAAAACAAAGGAAATATAGCCAACTGGCAGTTGGAAAAGAGTAGTGAACGCAAAGAAACTGAAAAAAACTTATTTGCTTTTGAAAAATTTGACTTGTGTTTGAAAAAACTTCAACTTGCACAAAAATATATTTGCCCATAAAACTCTTTGAACTTTAAACAATTTTTTTGACTGTTTTATGATAAATTTAAACAACTTGAGAAAGCTGGATCGTAAGTAAAATTTATTTTTATTTTGCCCAGTAATCTGATAATTCAATTTCATTTTCGAAATTAGAAGTCGAGCACGTTTTTCATGACATTTACCCTTTTGCTGTTCGATAGTGGCATTTGCCTTCCTTTTAAAAAAGGAAATGAAGCAAATTTAAAAAACCAAAAGTCAAACCACGAAAAATCAAAATTGAGCGAGAACACATTTAGAACTGTTCCTGAACAAAAAAATCACCAATACCTTTATAAGAAAACTCACAATGTTCTTTACTCTGAAAAAATCATTAAGACCTATTGAAATGAAAATCTCTTGGTTATTCTACACAAGGTGACTGAATACACTTATAAAAGTCAGTTGATTTTGTTTTTGAGAAAAAACGTTTTCACCCTTATCATTTAATCGTAAGATAGCGCAACCTTCATTTTTTTGAAAACGTTGCCTCTTAACTTGACCTTCAGCAATTTAAAAGTAGAAAAATTGCGGTTACCACATTTGTAATCTTGCTTTTCATTTAACAAATTAATTGAAAACTAGTTTAAAATAGGAAGCCAAATAGCTAATATGTAAAAATACCCAAAAAAAAATAAACTATTGAACAGTTGAAAAGTCCAATTCACCGTTAGAATTTAATTTTAAAAATCCTTTAATTAAAGACTAGCATGTAATGCACCTCCGGTGCTTCGAATTTATGACAACTCATAAAAACTGCATATAACCTAAGTAATATTTGCATCCTTTGTGTACTCTGACATAACCCAAGGATTACACAGGTTTGGTAATTTCAAATTTTGTAAAGTTAGTCAAGTTTTTTTTTAATTCTAACTTTGAAAAATCTTAGAACTTTGTGATTATTTAAATATCAGTTCATTGAAAACTTTTAAATTGACAGAAAAATGTCACATCTCGAAAACTAAAAGCAATGAACAGTCGCATTTGGACGCAAGATTTGAAACTTCTGAGAGTACTCACAACAGTCAACTACAGGGTCTGGAACTTCAAATTTTGAGAAAATTCAAATTGAAGTTTTCTAATTTTATTTTTGAAAAACCAAGGAAAGCGCCATATCCTGAAAACTACAAAAAATTGAGCACTCATATTTGGAGGCAAGATTCTCAACCCCTGAGAGTACTCTGACAGCCCCAAACTTCAGGGTTCGAAATTTCTCAAGTTTTGAAAAAATTCAAGTTTTCTGAAAAACTTTTTGAAAAAAATCATAAAAACGTCATATCTCAAAAACTACAAGGATTTAAGCAATCATATTGAAAGGAAAAACTCGCAACCCCTGGGAATGCCCTGATAAAAACATCACCAATGGGAACAAATTTTTTTTAAATCTAAGTTCTTAGAACAATTAAGAAAAACACTACAACGTCACATCTCGGAAACAAAAAGCATTAGGGCAGTCACAATTGAAACTTCTGAGAGTGCCATCACAGTACTCAACTACAAGGTTGAGAATTTCCAATCATTTGAATTTTTTTAAATCCAAGTTTTCTGAAAAATTAAAAAGAAATCATAAAACACTTCATATCTCGAAAACTACAAGGATTGGAGCAATTATATTTGGAGGCAAGATACGCAACCCCTGAGACCTTGAGAGTACTCTGAAAACCCCCATTATAGACGCGGGAATTTCAAATTTTGACAAAAATTTTTTTTTAAGTTTTCTTAAATTTTTTTTTTAAAAATCACAAAAAACTTCATATCTCAAAAAGTACAAAGATTTGAGCAGTCACAGTTGGAGGAGAAATTCGCAACTCCTGGTAGTTCCCTGACAGAGCCTCACTACAGCGATGAGAACTTCAAAATTTGTGAATTTTTCTATATCTAAGTTCTTTGAAAAATTTAGATAAAATCCTAATAACGTCATATCTCTAAAACTACAAGGATTTGAGCAGTCATATTCAGAGGCAAGAGTTGCAACACCTGAGAGTAAGCTCACAGTTTCCAATTACAGGATTGAGATCTTTGAAACTTCATCATTGAATTTTTTTAAATCTAAGTTTTTTGAAAATTGATGAAAAAATCATAAAAAACGTCCTATCTCGAAAACTACAAGGATTTGAGAAGTGAGATTTGGAGGCAAGATTCGCAACCCCTGAGAGTATCCTGACAGCACCCAACTACAGGGTTGAGAATTTCATATTTTGCGAAATTTTTTCAGGTTACGTTTTCTACAAATTTTTGAAAAATCTCGAAAATTGCCGTATCTCGTAAACTAAAAAGATTTGGTAACTCATCTATGGAGGCCACAATCGCAACACCTGAAGAAGCTCTGAGAGCATCCTAATATTGGGTTGCTAATTTCAAACTTGGTGGAATAAACCCTGAACTCAAACTGAAAAATCGAAAAAAAATCTTAACCATTGCAATATACGATATAGCTTTAACGTGAAAAAATTCTTTTGTTAAACATGCAAAAATAATAAGTTGAAAACGCTTAAACATGGCGAGATAGTGAAGACCGCATTTAAATGTATAATAGATTAAAGATTTAAAACAAAGCCAACTGACAGTTGGAAAAGAGTAATGAAAGCAAGGCAAATGACTGGTTTCCTTGTTTTTTTTCCAAAACCTTCAACTATTGAATTTCGAAAAAATTGATGGCCTTAAAGCTCTTTGAATTCGTAGAACAATTTATGATGGACAATTTTTTGTTAAAACTAACCAAATTTGAGAAAACTGGTTTGAAAGATAAATATTTTATTCCGCTGAGAAATCTGAAAATCTAATTTCACTTTGGAAACAAGAAGTCGATCACGTTTTATGTGACCTGTACAAATCTGCTGTTCGATAGTTGAAATTGGCTTCTTTTTATTAAAAAATGAACTGAATTTAAAAAATCGAAAGTCAAACCGCGAAAAAGTAAAATTGAGCCTGAACAAACTAAGACTTCCTAAAAAACCACAAAAAATCAATGCGACCTATAAAAATCTAAACTACGTTCATCGACTCAAAAATAAAACTGACAGAGCAGTAAGTATATAGAAAAGGCTTTTCGAGAATTTTCAAAATCAATTACTTCAGAAATTGATTGATCTAAATGATGAGAATTACATCTTTTGGGCCGTTGAGATTCAATGGTGATTCTTGTGATGCGAAAATGTGATGCGCCTAAAAATATTACTGTTTTAAAGAGCATGCTGAAATAACAGTGACGTACCAAATGACCACACGCATTATGCTCACTTTAAATCGCAACCAAAGAAAGAACACTACGTTGAAATCGGATGTTAGAAAAAAAACAATTTTTTTAAAAACTACATAAATTTCGAATAGCAATTTATATATATTTTAAACATATATGCAAACACTCAAAACACAACCCGGGCTCCATTTACATTCCCTATTTTTGAGTTTGATAGGACTACGACTGAGCCATTTTCAACAGTTTCATCTGCTTGAATGATGTAAGTAGATTGGCTGCTTTCAACTCTGAACAACAATCTTTTCTTGATCAAATAGATAATGCCGATGGATCCTGTTAGTGCACATATCAGTGTTATTGCAAGACATGCTGTGTAAAAGCCAAAATGTTGCAGGATTATGCCTCCTACAACGCCTTCGCCAATGATGAGCCCCACTTCGAAGCACAGGCCATACATTACTGCAGCATAGTTATCCACCATTACTGCAGTATAGCCTTCAGTTAATGGGTAGATTTTTCGCAAAAGGGGAATGAGCGGTATGAATGCAGCGGTTGAACTTATTCCGATCACAGCAATTACAAACTCAAGCATGCCTAAACTACCTAGAAAGTGGTTTGCCTGCTGTGAGATAAAAATAACAAAGAACCCAAGAGAAGTCAGCAAACAGCCACAGAAGGTAAAAATGATACTAGCAAAACCTTTGTCCACAAGAATTCCAATAATGGGCGCGCTCACGGCGCGTAAAATTGTGAAAGGGAGGAAATAGTTTCCAGCTTCTGTACTCGTTATTTCATATGCATCGTTCAAATGTGGGGAAAATGCTACTCCAAAAAATCCTAGCGATGATGCTGCAAATGTTGCCGCAATTGATAAACATATAACTCCACCGTTAGTTAAAAATTGCATTGCTGTTCTCACACTTGGTGTGAAACTTTCATTATCATCCTGTGAGTTTGGCTGGGGAATTCCAATATAGCAGAGAACAGGAAACACCAGCTGAGCTCCACCCACTATCCAAAACGGCAAACTATATCCCCCTAAAGAGTAGATCCAGCTACCAAAAGGAGCTCCAATGATGATTCCGATCGCCATTGCGAGCGAAATCCAACTGCAGATACTTCCCGTCCATTTGGGAAACATCGCAATAAGAAGTGGTGCTCCGGAACACCAAATGAGGGTAATTCCAGACCCTTTCGCAAATCGCGTTATGATACACATGATAACAAACCAGGTTCCAGAAGCTGCTTTATCTAGCTGTCCAAATAGCATGCACCCGATTGCTACAATGACCTCTCCAAAGCAGAACAGAAATTTGCGTTTCTCGATGTTAGCGAAGAAGAACATGAAGTATACAGTCGTGACAAGTCCTGCAAAGTCGGAAGCAGAGACAATGATGCCGATCATTGTTTTTGACACGCCTCGTTTGGCAAGTTCCGATGGCACAAAAGGGGTCCAAAAAGTGTCATTCAGGCCAATTAGAACGTACAGTGAAAGTCCCAAGAGAAGAACGAAGACCTTGCGAATATTTGAAAGGCGCTCGTGGCCCGAAACGCCATAACAAACTGACATCTGAAGATGAAAAGCGTCAAGTTGTAGACTTATTCCAATGAACGTAACAGCTTGTATCAATACAGATAAGAGAGGGTTAACACATAATTGACATCGGTGGAATTAGGTAAAGAAACTAGTACAATTCAACTCAACTTTTAATCACTAACTTTAACAACTGAATTGTCTTTGACGGGCGCCAAAGCAAAAGGAGTTTTATGAAGTCTGGTGCGATGTTTGCTTTTTAAAATCTCGGTGTTTACTTAAGAGAAAAAGTCGTCAGTTCTCGAGACAATATGACCAGCATGTTTGAGCTGAACGCATTAACTAGATATGTTTGTACACGTAGTCAGATTACCAAAATTGGAATGGCATTTTTGATCACCGGCAAAAAGATGGCAAAGCTTTTTGCTCAAATCAGTTAATGGTTCTGCAAACAGTCACCGCTTTGAGCAAAAAAATGTTTTACGAGCCTCCAGGTTTCCTCACGAATGATAAAGCAACAAAGTGAGTTATCGTCAATTCTCTCATAAATTCTCTCACTTACGTGTACAGTGCTGATTTAAATTAACCGGACAAAACTTCAAAATTCAAAAGCGTTTTTCTCAATTTGGATTGAAATTAGACAAAAATAAAGAACAGAACAAAAGTTGCTTAGAATTTCAGAATTAATATGGTGCAATTTTTTCTCCGAAATTCGCAACCAAAATTTTACCGCAAAAATGGGTAATTTTAACTTTTTTTAATTAATCAAGAATTACGCTGAAGCTACTTTGACAAATGATGAAAAAATTATATCACAAGAAGCCTTTTATACAGAACGGTTAAATCAAAGTTTTAGAAGGGTTAAATTTTCACATGGCGCAAAATGTTTTAAATTGTTTTTAGGCAAATAGTTTGGGCTGTATATTGTAAAAATCAGATTTATTGACTATCAAGCAGAAATATTTTCTTTTATAGAGATTTTTGGAGATTTAACCTTTGCAAAATTTTGTTGAGCTGAATAAAAGTCTTCTTGTGACATAATTTTTTCATCACTTATTAAAATAGTTTCAGCGTAATTTTTGATTAATTACAAAAAAAGCCAAAAAGATCCATTTTGGGGTTAAATTTTAGTTGAGAATTTCGGGAAAAAAAGTGCACCATATTAATTTTGGCAAATTTCTAAGCAACTTTTGTTCTCTGCTTTTTTTTTGTCTAATCCCAACCCAATTTGAGAAGAACGTGTGTGTTTCAAAATTCAATTTTTATTCGTTGTGACGGTTAATTTTAACAAGCGTTGCATAACACAACAATGAATATTGAATATTCTGAGGTCCAAATGCTACTCGTACCAAACGAAGGCTGTTTTTCAAGCCAAATTTTTTGAAGCCAACTTTTTTGTATTTTCTGTATAGAAATGATCTGTTTCTTTCTTAGTTTAGAAATAAACATTTTCTGGAAAAAAAATAACCGGGAATTAGTTCACTGCTCAACCGCAACGAGATACACATGCTTCGAGCATAACACAATAGCCGTAGCAAAACAATGCAAATTAACACTTGTTATAATTAGATTGCTATCATTCGTTATCAGGTTATGTGGCATTATCTGAGTTTGATTAAGACAGTGAAAAGGCAATAAAATTGCAATCGAATTTTCAAAACTGCATTTGAATTGAAGAAAAAGTAATGCAAAATGATTGCACTTTTTCGGAGAATTTTGTTTTTGCATCATTTCAAGAAATTAATTGAAAAAACATTTTCATTCAACAACGATTTGCCGGGGACCGAGACCTGTTACCAGACCGACCTTTTGCCAGAAAAGTTATAACATGGACCTTTTACCAAACTCAAAAAAAATTTGATTGACAGATGTAATGACGCCGTTTAGTCTGGTTAGGCAATGATTTCACGGTTTCTGAGTGAAGTTTTGTTTGTTCTAACCGCTTCCTTTTTAAATCTTCCACTAATTGAAACGTATTTTAAAGGAAATATTGCGTAGTGGTCTGGTAAAAAGTCGGTCTGCTAAAAGCTCAGTCTGATTCAAAAAGCCTAGCCCCCAATTAGCCATGCAATTTTTTCAGAGCAAAAAAACACGTAGCATGCCGACAAAAAGGCAAATGTGAAGCTTTCAAAGAAGTTTTTGATTAAGTTTAAATTTGAAGGTCAGAATTATTCATACATTGTCCGATAATACGTTGTACGATGAATTTGTGAAAAACTATATATTTAATGCCAAACTCTTTTCAGTCAACGAGTCTGAACGACATCAATTGCTGATTTTGACATCAAGTTCATCTTATCACTAATTTCCAAAAAACTAATTAACCTAAGACGCTATTGTTTTTGACAGAATAATCTGCTCAAGGTCACCGATATTGCCAGCAATTTGGCATTAACTATAATTCTGACCTTGAGACAGTGAAATAGTTGAAAAAACAACCGGATCTTCAAAGTTGCGCTTCAACTGTCAAAAACATCAAACCAAAATGATTGAGCTTTTTCAGAGGCCAGTTTTTTAAAATATAACTTTAAGCTATTATCTTCACAAAAATTTTCATTTAGCAGCGATCTGACATGCAATTTTTCAATAGTAAAGAATACATAAAACGCCGAAAAAAGGCAAACGCGAAATTTCAAAGAACCATTTCTAATAAGTTTCAGCCTGAAGGTCAAAATTTTTTCAAAAGTTTAACAAGCTGTCCAATAAATTTGTTGAAAGCTATAACAAATTTATCGAACAACGGGTTAAATTTTTGCACAACTTGTTTCAATTTTTGAAAACTCAGTTGTAATTTCAACTCTATTTCACTGAATCAAGGTCAGAACTATTTCGGAAACTTCAGAAGACATTGTCCGATATATTTGTTAAAATTTATTAATAAAAGTCTTAGAACTCACATTCAGTTTCAACAATATAAACGAAACAAAGAAAACGAAACTTTATGAGGATACTGCAAATCATGACGATTCCCTGTCACAACAAAATTGATTACAAAAGTCATAACAAAAAAATTTCCTATATGTGACAGGCAGGTAAAACAAAAAACAATCATGGTGTATCAAAAATTTGAAACATAGCCAACAGACAGTTGGAAAAGAGTCAATGAACGGAAAGCAACAGAACAAAAAATGACTTGTTTTTTTTTGGAAAAGTCAACTTTCGAGTTTCATACTAAAAATTATATGGCCTTATAGCTCTTTGTTTCACGAGGAATTAATGATTGGCACTTTTTTGATAAAATTATCCCAATTTGAGAAAACTTGATTAAAACGAATTTTTTATTCAGGTGGAAAATCTTAAAATAAAAGCCCACTCTTGAGACTTAAAATCGATCACGTTTTCTCGCGCCATTTCAGCTTTCATAATTGAAGTGTGAGTTTTGCCTACCTTTAAGCAAATGATCTTGGATTGAACTCAAAAATGCAAATATACCTATGGGCATTCATATGTACATTTATAAGTATGAATGTACTTCTTTTGTTAATAGAGCAATTAAAGATTTTTCCAAAAATGGAAAAAAATTATCACGAGCTATTTAAGAGTCTGAACTACGTTCACCGACTATTAAAAATTGCGCCATCAAAGACTGACAAATATATTATTCTCCCAACATCTAACAGGCATGACATTTCAATTTCCGATTTAAAAATTTTAATGTTCTAATAAGCTTCGCTCACTTTAGCTGTGGAAACTGTGCAATAAGAAGAATGTATGCCGATACAATGTGCGCGGGAAATGCTCAACAGCTCCGACCAAAAAGAGAAGGGCTTTTGTATTCGGTAGAGTTTGTAATGTTTGTTTTTATTTTTGCCATGCTAAATTAGGAACTACAAATACAAAGCAAATGAGATCAATGGATATATCACATTCAAGCCTCTAGTCGCAATTCAATCGATTGAAAAACTTTCTATAATTTTCAAAGTGGTCAGAAAAACTGGTTTGAAAAAAAAATTGCTTTTTAGACTAGAGCGAAAAACGCCAGCGAGCAGCTGTTAATCCCAAAAACCAGCTAATTTTAAAAGTTCAAGTAAAACAAATGTTTTTTGTTTTTTAATTGAACGCTCGCCTAACACCAGAGAAAATCTTTTAGAATTAAACTGGACTAATGAAAGGTTCTTCTGCCTTTTGGTTACTACAGCCAACAGACGCTAGGAAATCGTAGCTTTTTCGTTTTGGTTACTCAGTTTGCACAAAAAAAGTAATCATTCAATGCCTTCGTTCCAAAATTAATTTTAGTTCTTCTGCCAAAACCACGCAAAAACGACAACGTTTTATGCGTGGCCAACAGACGCTAGGAAATCATAGCCAACAGACGCTGGGAAAAGAGGCACTGAACGCAAGTAAACAAAAAAAAAACACTTTTTTTTTTTGAAAAAGTCACGACTTTAGAGAATCTTAAACTTTCGAAATTAAAACTCTTTGCAATTCTTGAACAATTTAAGACTGGAACTTTTTTTGACACAGAGGCGAATCGGAATAAAAAAAAACAATCATAAAAAAGAACAAGTCGAAAAAAAACTAACTAAAAATATTGAAAAAAACTAAGAGAAAGAAAATGTTCGCATGTCTCGATAAAGGACACCTAGGGCCCAGCTAATGCTGGAGGCACGTGTTTGATATTTTTGAATTGGGTATACTGATGCAGGACGAAATACGTAACTTCAAAATTTTGACTTTTCCGAGGACTGTTTAAAAAAATTGGGCGTAGTCGCGTATGCACAGGAGCTTCCCACTGCCTGTTTTTTGGATTGAATCCAGAATTTCAGATATCAGAAGGTATTTTTCGGTAAAATTCATAAAATTTAAAAAAAAAACGCTCAAAAAACTGACTTTTCCGAGGATGATAACTTTTTTGTAAATAATTGCGAGGCGCAGCTAACACAGAGGAGCTTCCTACTACCGTTATCTCCTTTAAACCCACCTCAAGTTTGCGCGATTAGTTTTTGAGGAAAATATTCAAAAAACGGTTAAAAAAATCAAAAACTTAACTATTCCGTGGGCCATAATTTTAGGTGAAAAAAATTTGAAAAGCTATTCAAAAAATGGTAAAAAAAAATCAAAAATTTGACTATTCTGAGGCCATAAATTTATGTGTAAAAAAAGTTTGTGCGTAGCTGCTGATGGAGAAAAGCCTTTCAAACCTGTTAAATTTATTGATGCCAAGATCTCTGATTTGGTTATTTTTTGAGAAAACAAAAAAAACATCGGTCAAATAATCCCCCTCCCACAGACTTTAGAGAAAGGGGTGAAGCAAAAAGAGACTAGAACTTGCAGGCACACATGATTGTAGGCGGTCTTCCTATGGATACCCCTGTTATAAAACCAGTAAAAGGGTTTTTGAAAAAAGACTTAATTCTTTTTTGCAAAAAGTGATAAAAAAAAGTCTCAGATAAATTAAAAACAAACAAATCCCAAAAACAATCGTAATACCTTTTTTTTATCAAACAGCAACTCTAGACTTTTCCTGAAAAAAAACAACCATCACGACCTATATAAGATGACAATTTTTTGACATTTGCTGTTTGATAATGGCATTTGTCTTCTTTTTAACACAGGAAATGAACTGAACTTAAAAAGAAATCAAAAGTCAAACTCAAAGAATCAAATTTGAGCGCGAACAAACATTAAGACTTTTTTTCCTGAAAAAAAAAATCACCAAGACCTTTTATATAAGATAAGAGCATTCTCTATTTTATTGAATTTTAATAACGATGGTCAAAGCCTAATGTGCTACAGGCACATTCATTAATCGTTGGTGCTTAATTTCGATTTGCAATTATTTATTTTTATAGGAAACTTTCTCTAAAATATCTCCCCACACACGCTCCATTAACACAGGAACTGTCAACATTGTGCAGCAAAAAAGATTCGCCAATTAATGAAACTGCTGAAAAGGATATAACCGAAGCAAAATTGAAACAGAGTAGGAAAAATGTTCAAAAAACAAGAAAAAAAATACCGATTTTCCTGAATTACACCAGCTCCTTGAATTTCAAGGCTATTTTTTTATTAAACTGACCCATTTTGAGATAATGGGATCAATAACTTTTTCAATTCCGATGTTAAATAATAAAACTCAAGCCACTCTTGAAACCAAGTCTCGTTTCATTTTCTACGCCATTTTTTTATATCAGAGCGCTATTTTGCTTTCTTTTCACTAAATGAAACCAAAAGAACTTAAAATTTGAGTGGTTTCAACCGCACGTTGCATACTCGTTTTGCCATGATTATCAAACTTACTCACCAACCATTAAAAAAGAATAAATTCTTAATATTAATCTCAAAAAAATCGACGGTAAATAAAAGACAAAAACCTTTATTCCAGAACAATTATAATCACTGCTTCAACAAAACTCGTCTCACAAAGTCGATGTTGAACTTCGAAAACACTAGGAAATTAAAGAGAAGTTTGAACGCTCTACCTAATGTAAAAATTAAGGAATTGAAAAATTTATTTATAGCTTTCTGAAATCTTACACGCTTTGCAAAACTATGTTTTTTGTCCAGTCACGCATTGGGGTTTAATTCGGAAAATTTCTTCGCCAGATTAAATCGCCGCCTACGTTTTGCGTTAGTAGTATATAGCGCGCAATAGTTATTCCAATTTGTACAATTTCGCAATTTTCAAACCCAATATTAGCGAAAAGTGATCACAGGTGAAATATTTTCAAGCTCACGACATAAAACTATTTATCTTTAATTTGGAGCTCAAGACATCAATATCTTTCAGATGGTATAAAAATTACAATATCCTGTATTAACATCCTCAGCATCGTGTTGTCTAGCGCTGTATTATATGTAATTGAAGTAACAAAACTGACTGTTAAGTGCGTAGAGTGAAGTGTACTTACTCGTCGTCTCGTTTGGATATGCAGAGTGCGTCGGAGAAGTAGATGGTAGACTGCCTCCACTTGGGGTGTGTGATCTTGGACAGGATGATGGCTATCATGGTACTGTCCAGCACCATACTCACCATCATCTGCAGCCACAGCAGCATCACCCTAATCACACACACACACACCCTCAGTCAGACAAACAAATGGTAATCTACAAATTGATTAACACTAAGACCATTTATCGACAAAGGAAAGATCAAAATACGAACTACTCAACTCCATCAGTAGAACCATTGTGGAGCCCCTTACTTATGCATCATCGGTCTTCACATATAATCAAAAGAATATCGAATAACTTCCAGTAGAGCATCATATCACAGGAGATGTACAACGCGTCAATCTTTTTGCAAGTCATCTAATGGGTTGAGACCTCAAGAACAGTTTGAACACTCAAATGGTTAAGTTTTTTAGACTTCAGTTTAGAATACCAAAACAATTTGATTGCGTGCAATTAAACGTATACACAAACACCTATCCTGCCAGTAGATTGCCTCGCCAGGTTGAAGACAGATCTGTTTTTATTAACAAAAAAATTATAGTTCGTTTTCCATAAACCGCTTTTTGCTGGTATAATTTCATCTTCTGGTGTTTCTACATTCTTTATATCAGCAGTAAAATGCTATCTTCCATACAAGCCACAATTACCATAAAGGCCCATAAACCAAGCGGGGCATTTAAATGTTTGTGACAGATCAAACGCCTACTAATTAATTTATCTCAACAGTGAATAGGGTGGCGAAATTGAACAAATCACAGGTGGAAGATGCAAATTAGGTTAGGCGACAATTAAGCTATTGCATTTGTACTCTCTGCCCAGAAGGGTCAAGTTAATTTGCATTTCTCGATACGATTTTAGATTGAGTTGAACGCATGGTCTGGTCGTTATTCTTCCTTGGGGAAATCAAGTGTTGCGTATACATTTAAGAGAAATCCTTCCTGGGATCGACTACCAAGTTTCAGACGGCTCATGAGGCCAAATGTACAACGAGCAGACTAAAATAACTACGAACAGGTGTGCCCTTAAACCTATGAAGCGTATTACTAAAAAGTTAACAGATCTTCGGTGCGCTCTGAGCGAAACTCTTGAAGACAAACATGCCTGCGGTTGATGTAGATGAACTTAAAATCCTTAGGCCACAAGACAAATCTATGTGCGCTTTGTTAGTCTTAAATCATAGTGCCTAAAATCAAGACAGTGACGAAAAAATTACTAATTTTGCACGCTGTCGACTATAAATGAGTGATTTTAGAGAGCTATATTTTATCAGTTTACAGTGATTTTCGATGCAGTGGCGCGGTGTCTTACGCGGAGTGGCAGCTGCTGTTGACGTATCTGTGTCCGAATCCGATCGTAGTCTGAGTCTCGAGAGAGAAAAGGAGAGCGGCATAAAAGGAGTCCACATTGGCCAGACACTGCTCACTCTTGATCAGGTGTCCCTGAGTACTATGCAGAGTCCACCACAGCAGTCCGAAAACAGACCAAGAAAGGAAGAACACCCCTGAAATAACACAGCAAACATCATCATTGGAATTTTAGATGGGAAATATATTTGCCGCAGAAGAAATTATAGTACACCTTTAACATTCAATTATCATTTAATCGTAAAATAGCACAACCTTTGTTTTTTTTTTAAATATTACCTCTTAACTTGACCTTCAAGTTCAACAATTAAAAGTAGAAAAATTGCGTTAATCTCATTTGTAATCGGAGAACGTTACTTTCTTTTCATTTTGCAAACTAATTTAAAGCTAGCTTCAAAAATAGGAAGCCAAATAGCTAATATAGATATAAATTTAAAAAATCAACTCCTGCACACTTGAAAAATGCAATTCAACGTTAGGCTTTATTAAAGAAATTCCTTTAATTAAAGATTTAAGCTAGTTTGAGAAGATTGTATTAATTGACATAAAGTCGAAGCGGAGCTTCGCGCCCCTTGCGAAATAACACAAGCGTTGGTATTACAAGCTAGCGAATAGAAAATGAGAAGACAACAACTGGAAACAGAATCTTGAGAAATATTCCTTAAAAAAACCGACAACCGAAAAACAACGGTCCCCTTTTCAACTGTTCCCAAAATTCCTAACTGTTTACCCCTGCAGACCTGTGTCTTCGGCGGGTGGGTGCCGAGAAGTTACTAGACCTCGAGACGGACGGGAATTATCCGACCCCGGGCTAAAACAACAAGTCGACAACCATGAAACAGAAAAATCATCATTAACAAAATAAATTAAATACAATGGTGAGAATTTTTGCTATAGCAGTTATCAGCAGTTACTTTTCGCTAATAATTAAATTTGAATTTTCAAGAAATAAATCATGTCATCAGCGTAACAGATGACTCATAATTTTGTTAAACAAGTTGTGGAACCAAAAAAAAATCCTATTTAACGATTTGAAAACTCTTGCCAATTTCAATTGATACAGAAATAGTTATTGGGCCTTAAATAATCGAAAAAAAACTTGGAAAAACGAACGTTGAGCCAAAAAAAATTATTTAAACTTCTAGAAACATACGTTCCCGAAACGCAAACGCATGAAATAGAATTCGTCTATCAACAACGCATTCTTAGGCAGCTGAACGGACATAACACAAGTTGAACCCATCTAGGCCAAAAAAAAGGAAAAACCCATATGTCGTGAACAGGGGCGGATCTAGGATTTATTCCAGGGGAGGGGCGATTTCGAATATTTTTTTGACCTTTTTTAGATCGACCACATTGATTTTCCGAGCACTCCCAGAACACTATAAAGACCTTTTTTACACCAACAAATTTTGCACCTCACGCAAATTTTTGAAAAAACAGGTAACAATAACAGTTTTTGGAACTTAAGAAAAATTTGACTAAAAAGTTCTTTTTTTTCGGCGCGCGCTCCCTTTCTAAATTAGTATCTACGGCGCGCGCTCCATTTCTAAATTAGTGTCTATTGGCGCCGAAAGCCGTTCAGAAAAGATTTCGGTTTGGTCAGCCTAAAATGAATTGATAAAATGATGCCAAAGGGGGACCCTTTGGTTGGTGAGGGAGAACCTTTGGTTGGCGAGGAAGTCGAATCCCTGAGGGGGGATAATCAGATAATTAAACTAATTTAGCGAAAAAAATTCATTTGAAAAAAAATCGGCTACCGAAAGTGAATCGAACCCAGCATTTTTTTTAGTCTACCATGAGCCCTAACTCTAATTTGAATGTATAGTTTCAGCTCGACTCGGAAAATCAAAAAAAAATCAAAACTCAAGCCACTAAAACGGAAAAGAGCTTTAAAAAAGCTTGGTAATTCAAATTTTTTGCCATAATGCAATTTTCGCTATAAACAATTGCAAAGCTTAAATTTTTTCACATTTCACAAACTCCTCAGCAGACGCCAATGAAATGTTATTCTAAGCATTGAAACGATGCTTGTAGGTTTTGCGAAACCCAATAGTTAAAAACATGAAAAAAGTTATGTTCCGATTTGGTAACGCTTGCTAATGACAAGCATAACCATACTTTAAACTCGAATTTCGCATACACAAGAAAAAGATCACAGATAACAATAGCTCCCCATTTCTGCAAAGAATCATATTTCTCGTCCGGCAGCGAATTGATTAGATGAAATTGCTTGCTTCAACAATTTAAATTTAAAAAGATCAGGATTAACTCGCGGGCTAACGCGTTCATAGAAAAAAATATACTGCGCCTTAAATATCACAAATTGGCCATTTCCAAACCCCTGTTGGTGCAAAAATTGTTGATAGGCAATTTATCTTTTTAATTTTTAGCCCACGGCAATTCCATCTTTCAGATGGTATAAATTAATTTTGTTAAAAATGGCTAGTTAAACTAAATTTGTCTGAAAAACCAGGCCGAGCGCAAATATTTTGACCAGTGTTTTGCTCACGTTATACGAAAAATTATACGAAAACCCCTTAAAAGATATAAGATTATACGAGAGACCAGACTTATATGATAAATTATACGATTATACGAAACCGATAATTGGCACGACTCTTTTTTGGGAGACAAAAATTTTGGCTTTGTGTACTGCAAGATTGATTGATATTAGGGGCGGCTCATTTTTGACACTTTTTCCGAACTAATAACAATATCCAGTATCAATATCCTCAACATCGATTGTATATTAGCACTGGTTTATATACATATGCTGCAATAAAACTGAGCTCAGCACTTGAAAAAATTATGCACTTAATATCGTGAAAAGTGAACTCGAGGTGAACGCGTTTGCATCTGCAATAAGAGCTTTAAAAGATTCCACACAATGGCTTTCTTCTTCGTATCTTAAATTAGTTTTAGAACAATTGCAAGATACTTTCAAAGGCAATCTGTCGCCTGAACTATGTTTGGTTGAGCAATTGAATCAAACATAGCCATTTCATTAGATGCATCCTTAAAATAAACTTGTTGCTTTTTGAGCTGGAATGATGATACGCGCACTTTAAAAGGTGTTGGATGAAGGATGTTAGCTAAGTATCTAGAGTATAATGAATGGATGAATGGTGCTACCTGCAATGAGACACATCTGAAGTGCCCAGTGTAGATTGACCATGTATCGGAATGCATTGTTTAGCTGTCTGGCGCTGAAAGGCACGTTGATGATCCCAATATTCCTTTTTCCACAAGTAGTCACCAGCCTAGGAGGCGCTGCCTGGACTGAGGCGATGGAGAAGGCCCTCCGAATACTGTCTGGAATGCTGAGGCGGCTGATGATGCTGTGCTTACGCGAAGGCGGGTCAGTGGGCGAAGGGGCCCCATGGTCGAACATTGAGAGTTTGGGGGGCAACAGGTTGGCTGGACTGCTGCTGTTGTTGTTGAGGTTGTGAGTGATGCCACTGGTCCTCCTGCTGGTGTGCAAGTGATTGGACGGATGATGGGAATTACTGTTCGAAATGTAGTGCGGAGTAAAAATTGATGAGTGGGGTGAGCCATTGTTCTCGCTATTGTTGCTATTTGTACTGTTGTTGTTGTTGTTGTTGATATTGGTGCAACTGGTATTGCCGTGGTTTGGAACGTTGTTTACTAGCGGAGAAGAGGTCTGATTGTTCTGATAAGTTGGTCGGTAGTTTGAGTTGTTTGAAGCTGTTTCTGGTCCCAACAGATTCGCACAGGTGTTGTTGTTTGGAACGACGAGGTGATTGTTGTGATGCAGTTGCAATCTCTGAAAACAGTTTTCCACAGTTAGACAACATACCACTTAGTTTCGAGCTGCTTCGTTCATTTTCAAGCTCAACAGAAAAAGCATCATTATTGTGGCACAAAACTCAAATCATATATTCAATTAGCCAATTGTTCCTTGGTATTTAGATATGAAATAGTTATAGAAATAAATATCGAGCCTGTTTTCAAAACTATTGTTTAAAAATTTATATTTAGCAGACATAGCTTCAGCCTTGTCTAACACATACAGTCCACTAGTAAATCCACAAAAGCATCCTTTAAAAGCAACTAAAAATTAACCTTTTTAAATTTTTCCATAGGAATTCGAAGACAGTAAAATATTGCAGTAAAACTCCAACTTAAAACACTTCACGAAACCGTAATAATTTTCTTTTGAAAATTTAAAAGGCGGCTGATTAAATATGTTGACAATTCTTTTGCAATAAGTAAATGGTTTTCGATAGTCTTCATTCAAAAGGGGTATAAGGCCAATTATAAATTCAAGCAGTTTTGCTGTAGAAAAAAAGCGAGAGATTCAATTCTAAACCTGCTTTACAGTCGCTTTGTTCGCAAACAATAAAAATGAGATTTTTTTGAAACATATACAAAATTTGCCTCTCGATCATAACAAGATAATCTTATGATAATTCCTGCTTTACGGCGGAGGAAAAAAGCAGTGACTTGACTTGTAATGGGAGAAAAAAGGAAAAGGCACTGTATTACTAAAAAACACTCCGACACGGAAGCCGTCCAACTTCAATTTTTAATAATAAGCCAGGACGAATTAAAAAAACGGCCAGAAAATAACAGCAAATGCAATCGCACACGTATGGGGATAGTAAATATTTACGTTTCACTTTCCACTTTATATCCAGCTGCCATGTAAAATCTGGGAAATGGTTATGCGCTACAACAAGTTTGATCGAAAAATAAAGTTGTATGTGCGCTTGACGTGAAAAAATACTAGAAGCTGCAGGTTCGGTGGTGTCGAATTAAAGCTCCGAATTAATAGCCTTCAGTCTGAATGAGTTTCGCACTGGCGACCGCTTCTGAGAGCATAAAGCACCATAAAGCGGATTGAGGCTGCGGCTGATCCTATTCAGACACTATACCACTCTATCTGGTCTGTGTCTGATAGTGTTGTGGTGAGAATGGGGTCACTTATATCATTGACCGGCATTTGAGATGTTGTAAAGCAAGCAGCAATCAAATTAAAACGCGGTAATTGGGTCTGTCACTATTCCGAAATGTCAGCGGAACAAAAACCCCTGCCGTTCAACCATGCTACCATCAGCTTCAATTAGATATGGTTAAGCTAAATTCACATAAATTTCACTCAACCCTACAGTGATTACTTCAGTTTTATTGAATTTCGCTAAATGTTCCACAAAGATTCCGATAGTTTATGTGTAAAGCAGTAGCTCGTTGTTTAAATAAGTAATTTTCAAACAGCGAAGCATATTTTGACACTGTTAACTCAATTTTCCAAAATGGCTTTTACTTGCCGCCTTGTCTGAATTCCATTAAGCTCCCCCGAGAGTAAAAAATAAACTATGAAAAGGATAAGACGAAGAAACCTTAAAAATTCGGCCAGAAGTAAGCGACAAAATTTGTGAAGTTCAAAAAAACTTGATTTAGCGCACCACCAAAATAACCGTCCAATGGGAGAATTTCTTTGTCATGATCGCATCTTTGTTTCAATTTATCCATATTCCGCCATCGAATGGATTTCATCAAGTTTGTTTGCGATATGAAATTAGAAATATAGAAAATAGGAGAGCGTACGATCCATGAATCCATGAGCGCGTTTATTTTATTTCAGTTCAATCTTACTCATATTTATATAAGGAAGCGAAAACAGAGATTGAATCACAATTCAACTTAAAACTGATATTAACTGTAAAACCTTTCCACATGAGAAACCAAGCTTCGTGTCACAATTGACACGAAAATATACAAATTTTTCAAAAATAAACAGAAAAATGTCGGTCACACGCGAATGAAAGCCGGTTGCTGTGCAAGTAGCACAGAATGTTCCGACCAGTCTTAAAAAATACATTTTTTTTAACTTGGTGTCACTTTTTTCCTGCATGTTGTGATAAAAAGATCTGAAGGAAAAAATAGAACTTATGCATATTTCAGAGTCATAATAAAATAGGTCAATTGAAAAACAATTTTTGAAGAAAATTGACTAGAAAAACGAAAAAAAAAAAATGCGCTAAAACGCCAAAAACTACCTTTATTTTGAGTAAATCCAGGTTTTCACGGCTTAAATTATGCTTAAGTATGCTATTGTAAGCCTACACGGTCACCTTATTGGCTCGAAATTAGACCAAAAATCAAAAATTACAAACCAGTTTTTCTCAACACTGAAAAAATTCTCGAAATTTTTAAATGTCGTTCGAATCACGACTGATAGGGCTTTAATATTATATATCACTCAACCCAGTCCGATCTTTATTAGTGGTACCTGATTTTGCTGGAAAACAAAAAAAACTGAAACACCCGAATACAAAGCTTCTCCTCAATTTCAATGGTCGGAACATCAAAGACAGCTAGTTGCAGAGCAGAAACACGGGAAGTTATCACCGCAAAAATAAAACTTTTTTGCAAATTGAAGTTTTCCATTTGTGCAACTATAAGCGGATTTGAGCTGAAAACTTAAAATAAGTAAATTTGATGATGAGTGTAGAATAAGCTTATTCGACATCGGTTTGTTGCAAAAAAAAATTAGCCAAAAAAAATCAAAAAATGTTTTTACTAAGGTTTTTTTGCGGTGAAGAGGGCGCTAAAAAACTTCAAACACCAAATTTCCAGTAAAATTAAAACTTATATCTAATTTCTTCATTAAAAAATACACAACCGCTTTAATTTTTGAAATTTGACCAAAAATCAAAATAAAGTGAACTCCTTTTTCTCAATTGTCTAAATAGGGTTCGAATCACGACTGCAAGCGCTTTGATATGATATATCGCTCGATCCATTCCGCAGATTATTTGTGGTACCTGGTTTTGCGTGGAAAACAAAAAAACTTAACAAGGATAGCCGGTTACTGTGCAAGTAGCACAGAATGTTCCGAACCACAGCCTTAAAAATTACAATTTTTTTTTACATATTCGTGTCAATTTTTTCTGCATGTTGTTATAAAAAAATCAACACGCAAAAAAGACATAACTTAGGCGTCTTGAGAGTCATAGTAAAACATCTCAATTGGAAAACAATGTTTGAAAAACAGGGACAAAAAAAACAAAAAAAATTTAAAAAAATTTCAAAAACTAAGATTTCACGGCTGAAATTAAGCTTAAATAAGCTATTGTAAGCATATACGGTCACCTTATTAGCTCGAAATTCGACAAATCACGACTGAAAGGGCTTTACTATATATCATTCAATCCAGTCCGATGAATATTTGTGGCACCTGATTTTGCGTGGAAAAAAAAAGAAAAAAACTGAAACAACCGAATGCAAAAATCCTCCCCATTTTCAATGGTCGGAACAAAAACAACCGAATACAAAGTTCCTTCCCAATTTCAGTGATCGGAACAAGAAGCATAATTTACAGTAGCGATTTGGAGCCAGTTTAGTTTCCATTAGCTTGAACTGCAATAGCCTTCTGTGTACCCTGGTCCTTGCACTCAACAATTTTTTTGCCTTTGCTACAGCCCAGTACCGTGCTTTTGCTTGTTTAGATCAGTATACAAAACCACCATTTTCAGCGGTCTGTACAAATCAGGCCTATCAACTAAAAGCACATGCAAAACGTGTCTCTCGTTGGCATCTTATCCTTTTCTATTTGATGGGAGTATTTTTATTTTAAAAGGTTAACTACAAACGGGGCCCTTTCGTTTAGTTATGGTCAGAGCACATGCGGGATAGAGCCATACCAGCGTTATAAGAAAGCATATATATCAGCAAACTAAGATTGGTATCAATGAAGTCATTTATCAGCATTAAACGCATCGTTGTAATGTTAATTTATCATAGCGATCCTTCCTCTACAACAGCGCTCATAGAGTTGTCGATAAATTGAACTTTGCGCAGTGATCTGCATCCCCTTAAACGTAATAGAGCTCCCGAGGAGCGCTATTCTTATTTTAGTTCTCATGTAGTTTATCGATTCTGAGTAGCTTTCTTGTCTTTTTTCACTTAGTTGTTAGGCTAAACGCTGCATCGTCGGAAGGGCAGTTGGAGCAGCACCAACGGTGCGTCTGAAAATCAGCGGGCAGAAGCTACTCTGCTCTACGTTTAAAATTCTTTGCTGATATTTGGAGTTCTTTAGCGTTTCGTGATATTTGTATGCTTCTTCATGCAGTTTTTGCGATGTTTCGGCATGAGGTTGAAACCTTTCATGTCAAAGAAAACACGGCTAAATCGCGAACCCCAGAATTCGTTCACTTTAATGTCAAGTCGTGCCTCATCTTGGGTTGTAGTTGAATTATGGACAAAGCTTTTGCCTTGCAACGGCTGAAGTTTCGGCTCAATCCCGACGTCATGGCAAACCTCGTTCATGAGGTTGGCGAATGTGGCTCTAATTTCATTGTGTCTTATGTGAATGTAACCGCCCTTTGCACAGTGTAGGGCTTGGGTTAGGTTAAAATTTGCACCACATGCACATGTGATTGGTTTTGTTTTCAGTTCCTATCCGTATCTTAAGTAAATACCATCTCTGAATTCTGATTTATTCAGGTTGAAATTGTATCTGCTGAGTGGTAAGGCATTGAGCCAGTTAGAGGCTCCCTTTTAAGCGGCCAGGTCGATTGCGTATTTATCAATTTCATTTGAGGAGTTGATAAGGGTTGTTTTACCCTCGTCAAATGTATTACTATCATAAAAGGTATCAATCACATTTGATGGTAGTAATTACAAAATAGGCGATAGTTGATATTAATTTCATTAGTAATTGGAAAAGAGTTTTTAAAGAAAAATGACTAGGAAAACGTAAAAAATTCAGAAAAAATTAAGACAATGTTTTTAAACTTTTTAGCAGAAACTAAATTTTGAAGTGTTTGATTCTCAAATTGGCGCTAGTCAACTCTCAAAAATAATTTTACTCAAGTAAAATTTAGTTTTCACGGCATTAATTAGGCATAAATAAGCGCATTGTTACAAAAGATATTGTGCTGGTCTTTCAAAAACTTTTTGATTGAATGTGTTACTCAACCTCAAATTACTCATTTTAAAAATTATTGAATCAATAAGAAAAACTACTTGCCGACATAATCACAACATGCAACCAATAAAATACTGAAAGTTTTTGATAATTATTCAATTAAATAGTTACACAATTCTTGGAATTTGTTGAAAAAATTTACAAATGTATTGATGCCAATGAAAATTTCTGTTCTGTATATTTTGACATTCAAAAGATTTTTGACTCTGGGTCACAAAAACACTTGCTGAACAAGCTGTCTTCTTTTGGTTTTGACGAGAATATTATCATGTTAATTTCATCTTATCTTTCCAATCGCTCACAAAGAGTACGTATTAACAATATTCTATCTTACAAAGGTTACATCTCTAGCGGTGTACCACAAGGAAGCGTTTTAGGACCAATTTTATTCCTTATTTATATTAATGACCTCCCGGATGTTGTCAGGTATTCCTCACCGTCTTTATTTGCTGATGACCTGAAACTGATTTCTCGAGACAACTGTCATGACAATTTTCAGTCTGATGTAGAGACCTGGGCAACCCAAAACAGTCTTGATTTTCATCCAGACAAAACTAAATTCATTTCAAACAATAGCTTTATTTTCAACCTTTATCTTAACGGGTCAGAAATATGCTCTGTTGATCATATCAAAGACTTGGGTAATTATATCTCGCCTACTTTGTCTCGGAATTACCATGTTTCTGTGAAACTTGGTAAAGCCACAAAGTGTTTTCATTATTTAAAGCGTGAAGTTCCTTTCAACTCACCTGTTAAAACTAAGCTTCAAATGTACATTTCTTGTGTGAGGTCCATTTTACTTTATAACTCTTGTATTTGGTACCCAAATTTATCAAAGCCACGTGATTTGGAAAAATTCCAGAAAAAGGCAGTAAAGTGGATAATTGGTTCCACTAATTATACTGACAGTCTTGTGATGTTAAACATACTGCCTATTTGCTATCAAATTATTTTTACTGATTGTCTTCTCTTCTTCAAACTGTTACATAACTGTTATGACTTCGATATTAATGACTATGTTACTGTTAGTGAACCGAGACCGGGTAACAGATCCAGTCAGAGAATGGTATTCTCTGTACCTCTTACCCGCAAATTCTGTTCCCTTGGGAGCTTTTTCCAAAGAACAATTCATAGCGTCAATAGTGTTTTAGCAAAAGTCAACATCAACTCTACAACTACAGTCTCACAAACCAAGACTCTACTCTTCAATTTCCTTAAACAGCAACTTCAATCAACCTTCAATCTCGACAATCCATGCACTTTCTTCATCAAATGCCGTTGCAACACATGTCGTTCCTGAACATTAACAATTTAACTCAAAGCTTGAATTACGCAAACTCAAAATTTCACTTTTATATGTAGTATCATTCACTAATAAAGTCTCTTCTTCTTCTTCTTCTTCTTCTTCTTCTTCTATTCAGTCACATTGTAACAAAAATTACTACACTAGTGTCGCAGCTTATTTTTGAGTTCAATCGATGAAGACAAACAAATGATATTAGTAAACTAGTAAATAAAAAAAATGATCCGATGGTTGAGTTGGAGCCCGAGTCGAGATTTTTCACCTAATTTGAAGCAAGATTTGAGCGGTTTGAGCGGTTTTTTTTAGACAATTACGCTCAAAATCTTGCTTCAAAATGAGCGGTTTGAGCGGTTTTTGAACGGTTTATCTAAAAAAAAACCGCCCCAAAACCGCGCAAGATTTGAACGGTTTTGAGCGGTTTTTCTGGATAAATCGCTCAAAACCGCTCAAATTTTGCGCGGTCTTTGAGCGAGATCTCGACCCGGGAGTTGTTCTTTACCTTTCCAACCTCAATCATACAATCCTTCTTTCAAATAAACTATAGATATAGATATGAACTTCCTGTAATACATTGTTCACTGGTGAATAAAACAAACACGAACTTTGCTAAGAAGGAGGGTCAATTAAAA